TTCCCAGATGTTTACAGAGTGTTGGTAAAAGAAGAGTGGGTGCTACACCGTTCTAAACAGGGCCCCGTCCCAACTTTTTTGAGACATGTTGCTGCCATCAGTTTCAAAATGACTTTATTTTTTTCTTAAAATGGTCTATTTTCTTAGCTTTCTAGTTTCTGTTGTGAATATAATAGGGGTTTATGAGATTTGCAAACCGTTGCAATCTGTTTTTTTATGCAGATTTTACACAGCTCCCCGACTTTTTCGGAATTGGGGTTGTAGATAAGAGTAAAGCATACCACAATCCCCCCTGGTATTTTCCCAATGTAGGTGACTTATCCCCATTTCTAGTAACAAAGCATAAAATGAACTTAGACAAGGGTAGACATGTTCTTTATAGCACCGTCACATATAATAATGTTGACATATTCAATAATATTTCTATATGATTTCACACACTCTATTATAAACATTTCCATTATACATTGTTTTTCTTCTGCATTAAAATATAGCAAGCAATATAAAGTGAGAAAAAGTGATACAGACAAAAGATATAAAACCTTATGCACTTTGGTACAGGGCCCCCTGATGGCTAGGCCCCCTTCCATGAGTCCCTGGTCTATGTCATGTGGTCTCTTTGTTCCAGGTCTGTGGACCTTCCGTCAAGGCCCAGGAACCTTCCCGCTGATCCTCGGGCTCTTTACTCTCATTGCAGGGCCCTTTAAAAGCCCCGGACACATAGGGGTTTATTTACTAAAGCTGGAGAGTCCAAATCAGACTCCCTTCTGCATAGAAACCAATCAGCTTCCAGGTTTCATTGCCAAAGCTTCATTGAACAAGCTGAGGTTAGAAGCTGATCGGTTTCTATGCAGAAGGGAGTCTGATTTTGGACTCTCCAGCTTTAGTAAATAAACCCCATAAAGTCACATGACAAGTAAAAACACATTCATTTGAATGGGTGCCATCCAGGGGCGGACTAACAACTGATGGGCCCCCCGGGCAATAGGGGATAATGGGCCCCCTGTGTCCTCGTCCACACTCAAACCACACCCAAAAAAAGCCTATGAAAGGTACCAGGGGCATCTCAGGGGCATCTCAAGATCCCGGACCCTGGGGCAGTGCCCAAGTTCCTGAATGGTTAGTCCGCCCCTGGTGCCATCTTAATCAATGAGACTCAAGTCACATAAATGAAATAAAAAAGGTCCCTGTGCTGCTTCTTCTTAGACTTTGGTGCAATTTGAGTGCCTTAGATTGTAATGATGACAAAAGCCACAAGCAAGTTGCAAGGAAATCACAAGCAAGTCACACACAGTGTGAACTGAGGCTTAAGGTCCCCTTCCTGCTGTCTTGGGCCACCCACAGAGGTGGAATGCCAGGACCTAGTTGCAAATGCGACCCCTGCGACCCTGGTAGTTCTGCCACTGCTTTGGGAAATGTTCCTTAAGGCAGTGCTTATTAGCCCAAAAAATACCCAGAACTGTTTTTTAACATTTGGCTTCCATTGACTTCAACGGGGTTCCTATTCGGCACCCGAACTTTAGCACCTTTGCCAAACCCTGCTTGAACTGAACCCAGGTATATTCAGATTCTCACTTATCCTACTATGCCCGGTAAAAAAAAAAGGTCACTTCCGCGCAGACATTTTTTTGAAAAAATAGGGAACTCTTGAAGAGCAAAGGCAGACTGACCTTTCCGGTGCATGGTTCCCTTGTAAGTCTTCTCGGCACTGGCAGTTTACACCGAGATCCCACCCACTGCCCACCCTGTCAAAGTTATTGGTTGGTACCAGGGCTGGACTGACGATTTAGAAACTCGGACACTGCCCAAGGGCCTCGGGGTCAGTAGGGGGCCCCATGAGATGCCCCTGGTACCTTTTTCATAGGCTTTTTTGAGTTTGGGCAAGGACACAGGGGCCCCATGATCCCCTATTGCCCGGGGGCCCCATGAGTTGTCAGTCCGCCCCTGGTTGGTACGACTGCCTAGTGTCTTATGAAGTGCTTGCACAGGTCCATCATCATCATCAGAGGATGTAACTTTCTCCTCCTTCCCACATGGAAGATAAATATATTTAAAATATATTTAAAAAAATATTCTTCTCAAAATATATTTACATATATTTGAAATACTACAATTCTGGCCGTATTCAATATATTTCAAAATATATTTCAATACATACAGTAAATTTGAAAGTTTATTTTAAAAATGTTTTTCATATATTTTGTAATAAAAACACATTTCAATATGCAGTATATATATATATTTACTGAAATATATTTTGAAATATATTGAATACGGCCAAAATTGTAGTATTTCAAATATATGTCAATGTATGGCAGGCTGCCACCGTGGTCTCCTTATGCTGTGTGTGGGGGTCTGGGGAACTGATGGCTGCTTGCTATGCTGAGACTTGTAGTGGCCTCAGTAGGGACTGAGTAATGACAGCCCATTATGCAGGCATTTGGAATGCTGTCTGTGGGGGATTGAGATATGACAGCCATCTTTGCTAGGATTTATAGTGCCTTCTATAGGGGACTGACGAATGTCAGCCTGCTATGCTGGGACTTGTAGTGATCTAGACTGTGGGGAACTGAGGAATTATCAGTTCCCCACAGAGGGCACTACAAGTCCCAGCATAGTGTGCCACAATATCACTGTCCCCCACAGAGGGCAATACAAGTTCCAGCATAGCAGGCTGGCATATCTCAGTCCCCCACAGAGGGCACTACAAGTTCCAGCATAGCAGGCTGGCATATTTCAGTCCCCCACAGAGGCACTACAAGTTCCAGCATAGCAGGCTGGCATTTCTAAGTCCCCCACAGAGGGCACTACAAGTCCCAGCATAGCAGGCTGGCATATCTCAGTACCCCACAGAGGGCACTACAAGTCCCAGAATAGCAGGCAGCCATATCTCTAGTGCCCTAGAATGTTGGGGACTGCGGAATAACAGTGTAAGGGGAACTCTGGAAACCCTGATGTAACAGAGATCTTTGCAGTCTCTGAAGTAAGAGAGAACTCTGGAAACTCCGATGTAAGAGGGAACTCTGGGATCTCTGATGTAAGGGGGAACTCTGGGATCTCTGATGTAAGGGGGAACTCTGGGATCTCTGATGTAAGGGAGACTGTGGGATCTCTGATGTAAGGGGGAACTCTCGGTACTCTGATGTAAGGGGGAACTCTGGGATCTCAGATGTAAGGGGGAACTCCAGACTACGATGTAAGGGGGACTCTTGGATCTCTGATGTAAAGGAGACTGTGGGATCTCTGATGTAAGGGGGAACTCTCGGTACTCTGATGTAAGGGGGAACTCTGGGATCTCTGATGTAAGGGAGACTGTGGGATCTCTGATGTAAGGGGGAACTCTCGGTACTCTGATGTAAGGGAGAACTCTGGGATCTCAGATGTAAGGGAGACTGTGGTATCTCTGATGTAAGGGGGAACTCTCGGTACTCTGATGTAAGGGAGAACTCTTGGATCTCAGATGTAAGGGGAAACTCTTCTGACTACAATGTAAGGGGGGCTCTGGGATCTCTGATGTAAGGGGAAACTGTTCAGACTCAGATGTTAGGGGGACTTTGGGAACTCTGATGCAAGGGGGAGCTCTGGTAACCACATCATTCTCCCTTACATCAGAGTCCCCAGCATTCCCCATTAAATTAGGGTTCTCAGAACTCCAGAGGCACCATGGGCCTTTGGGTTGTACTTGCCCCCTGGGCAAAAAGTTGCCAGTCAGTCCCTGCCCCTCTTAGACAGTTTTCACTGAAACAAGTGTCCCCATTGGCGCATTTTCCCTTTACTCTTGCTCTGGTGAAAGCTTGAAATGTTAGATTTCTGATCATATTCAATCAAGAGACAGTGGTCAGTGGGAGTGAATCTCACCAACGGGGGGCATAAACAGCAAAATAAAAAGCTTTTCAGGGCTTGCAGGGATTTTTTACAACAGGAATGTGAGGGGAACGCAGTTATGGCACCTCCAGCACTACAGCAATGAATGTATGTAATGGCAAGGGGTGCTGGGGTGTGCTGCTTGGTCCATTGATGTTGGCTGCTGAGGGGATCTATTGTCACTGGGGTGATATTATTCCTCGCTCCTTGGAGAGCTATTGTTGCTAGTGGGGGTCAGCTGTTCCTGGGGTGGATCTATCATTGCTAGGGAGGGTCTTTTGTTGCAGGGGATCTACTTTTGCTGAGGGTGATCTATAATTGCTGGTGGTGGGGATCCATAGTTGCTGGGGCATCTATAGTTGCTGTGGGTCTATATTTGCTTGGGAGTATATTTTGTTTCAGGGAATCTTTTGCTGGTGGGGGGGGGGGGGGGGGGGGTATTGTTGGTAGCCACAGGGGATCTATTTTACTGATTTTCTTATCATTCTCATTACATTCCATACAAATTACTTAGCACACACAAAATGATGCTTGATTCTGTATTCTCTCAAAGAGGTCCTACTGGGTGGTGGCTAGGGGGTGGAACCCAGGGACAGTGCTTGGAGATGAGTAGGGGGCAGAGGCAGGGGGTGACTCTGAAGAGTACCTGCATCTATTCTCTGAGAAACAAAAGCCCAGGAGGCTGGCGAAGAGCTGAAAAATTAAAGTTTTGATGGTGTCAGCCAGTTAGAAGACATTGTTATGTTAATTGGTATATAAAAAGTTTATAGAACAATTTCAAATTTGCTTTGGGGGATTAGGGCTCCCCTCTCTTTTGAGTTTATTTGATAATGTAGCTGTAAACCATAGGGGCTGGATTCAGTGTTTTATTTATTTATTTTTTGGATAGTGTGGAGCATTCGCTTCGGTCTGGTCCAATTCTGGAATGGCAGCTGCAGGCAGGACCTGACCAAAAAATCCTGAGGAAAGTCCAAGAGTTGTGCTGCCAAGGACTACCTAGCTCCAACCAGGTCCAGCACCAGTCTAATCCCACAACACTCTCTAAAAAAAAAAGGTTTAAGACAAACTTTTAGTGCATTTTTGTTTTTACTGTTAGCTCCAACACTTGATTTTGGATCGATAAGGGTACATCTGGATTACTTGAACCATTCAGCAATACTTGGTATTGTCCTATAAGTCGGGGCCTCCTTTAATACTTTACATATTTTGCAGTATGCTGGTAGAAAAACACCACTGGATTTTGTTGGCTGATATTTGAACCTCCAGTTAAAATACTGTCTGTATTTGTTCTCATCTTTATCCAAATCCAGGAGATATTCAGCCAGTTCTCGAGGAGATGAAAAGTCGTCAACATGAATAAAAGCGTCAGCTGGAATGAAACGCTCATAATTTTTACGAGGAGGACCCATGACGATGGGCACAGTTCCCGCCAGAAGTGAATTTCTCCATAACTTTTCCGTGATGTAATCCTCATGTATAGAATTCTCAAAGGAGAGGTAGAACTTATACCGGGCCACAGTTTTCAAAGTCTCATTCCGTGGAAGAGGCAAACCGTATTTTCCGTAGACGTCAACTGGAATGTATTTCTTTAACTCCTCGTAATAATTAGTTCGTCTGTACTTTGTCTTCCAGTTGCTACTTATCCATGCTACCAACTTTGACTTTTGGGGGATTGTAAAATTTTCTTTCCTGTTGACTTTTTCCAGCCAGCCATATGGGGTAAATATATCTGAATCAAGCCGATAAGACATTGTGAGGTTCATTTTGTTGTCCATGAGCGTCAAGTTTGGGCAATTGGTTGGAGACTCCATGCTAAACCAGATCCAGTATTGGTAGTATGGTCTCAGGACTGGGGGCAAAAGCTCCACTGACTTATATACATCCTTATGACTAATAACAACAGCATCTGCTGTAGAGTATACATCACGGTTCACGGTGTGTAGAAACAGCCGGAGTTTTCATTTTTTGGACACCTATTTAGAGGAAACTGGTATCCTAATGGCCATGTCCAAAGTAAGATGGTCAGCAGAGGTTTATTGAAAGTCTCCAATGTCTTAGTTGGCATTGACGGCTTTGTCACAGTCAAGGGATTTGATATTCCTGAGCGCTCTGACATGGAGTCAGATGCCACCTTTGGCAAGAGGTTTATTGCAACATTTCTTTCATTTATCTGAATATATGCAAGTATTAAAATAGGAAACAGTTCCTAGTAAAAATAATTTTGAGGAGCAACAAATGCCATATTGAGAAATGTGTTACGAAACCATTGGAGGGTGAGGTAGGCCATTCAATCTGACTAATAATTGAGAGTCTTTTTTTGATGTTTATCTCTGTGTCCACGTTCCTAGGAAATAAAAAGACACATAAACTGGTGACACATAAAGTACATTTATGGTGACATCTTGAAAGCTTTTTTTTGTATAAAAAGAATGACTTTTTTTTCAGGTTCCACAACGTGGTAAACATTTAAAATATACTTTTATTTAATAGAAAACTATAAAAACCAAAGCATATTAAACAATTTAATACCTCCTGTCACCAACAGGTGTGTTGAAAGTACCTACAGGGAATTTCTTTCACAATGGTACCCATATACTGTACATATAATATAATGTGCATTTGTTCAATAAACAATACAAAATAACAATGTAACTTCAAAAAATGTATTGCTTGCGGGGTTATCCAAGTGGAAAGGGTAGACTTTCGATACGTTTCATGAGTGAATCTAGGATTCAGCAGTGTCCTCACCCCACCCAGCTCTTTACCGATCTTCAGTCCCTGGTGCCTGCATCTTAAGAGTAGACAGATGGTTGTGACTCCTTGCGGCTTCACAGCCAGCTGCCCACTGAGCATGTGCGAGCCAGGTCTCCTGGGACCTAGTAATGTGTCCTAAGAAGCTGTGGGGAGAGGTTATGTGGGGGTGAACTTCCACTCCAATCGCCTTGGCGATCACCTAGTCAAAATCAGGTATCCATTTCTACCCCCCCGTAAAAATATAATTCCAGACAATCAGTATAAAAAATAACACAATAAGAGATTAATAACATTACATACATCCATTTGTACAAACATCTATTATCAGTAATGGGCCCAATAGATGCCCTGGTGGAAACTGTGCACATATCCCTGGGTATATATAGTTCTTTATTAGAGATACCTCCAGATGAATGTTGCAGCAAAATCCAGTTCCAGGGGCCCCTGAGGTTGATGTGGCATCTGTCTTTATGTCAGAAACCTGAAGACAAGGTCAGCGGTCATGGGAGATCCTCCAACTGTTGTCCAACCAGCGCCTGGAATGGAGCCTATCACCAGCAGGAACTGTGGTGTTGCTCTAGAACTGAGTCATCCTATCTACTCTACATATGTTTAGTCCCTCCCTAGTAGTGTACACTAGTTTACTGGTTCAGGCATTAGTGGCAATGGACAGGATATTTTGGTTGAGTCCAAAGTTTTTTCTTTCTGAATTTCATTTCTCCCTTCCAGGGCTTCTAAGCCAACAACCCAGGGGCAGGATATGCACACATAAAGCATTTTTGAAATTCAGACAGTAGAGGGCAGCAGATCCCTGCATTTCCATATATAGAGTGGATTCCATAAGAAAAGACAAAGCAGAGGCATAGAATTGCGATATATAATTTGGTACACTGAAGCATAGATGATCCTGGTTCAGTTTTACAGTGGAGAAAATAATTATTTTGATCCCTGCAGATTTTGTAAATGTGCCCACTTACAAAGAAATGAAGGATCTATACTTTTTTTCATAGGTGTATTTTAAATGATAGAGACAGAACATTAACCAAAAATCCAGAAGAAAAAAACTGTGGTACAAATGTTATAAATTGAATTGCAGTTCAGTCAGTAAAATAAGTATTTGATCCCCTGATTCAACCAACAATAAATTCTGGCTCCCACACAGACTGGCTATGTGCTCATGTGGTACACACAGATTAGTCCTGTCACTTTAAAAGGTGCTCCTAACAACAACTTGTTATGTGTATAAAAGACACCTGTCCACAGAATCTTTGTCTTGGGCTGCACACCATGGGCAAGACACAATGCGCTGCCAAGGGGAAAGGACATCAGAGACAAGATTGTAGACCTGCACATGGCTGGAATGGGCTACAAGACCATCAACAAGAAGCTTGGTGAGAAGGAGACAACTGTTGGAGCGATTTATCCACAAATGCAAATACAAAATAAGCATCAATCGCCCTCAGTTTTGGAGCTTCCAATGCAAGATTTCACCTCATGGGGGTTAAGGATGAGCATGACAAAAAAGTGAGGGATTATCCCAGAACTTACACAGTAAGGAACTTGTCAATGATCTCCAGGCAGCTGGGACCACAGTCACCAAACAAACCATTGGTAACACAATACATTTCCATGGACTGAAATCCTGCAGGGCCCGCAAGGTCCCCCTTCTCAAGGAGTATTGCACATGTACAGGTTTTGTGTCTGAAGTTTGCCAATGAACATCTAAATGATTCAAAGAAGGATCCGGAGAAAGTGCTGTGGTCAGATGAGACCAAAATTGAGCTCTTTGGCATTTACTTGAATCACCGTGTTTTGGAGGAAGGAGAAATTCTGACTATGACCCTAAGATCTACCATTCCTACAGTCAAGTTTCACTGCTAAAGGTATAGGCTGACTGTTCTGCATTGGGGGGGCAAATGGATAAAAGCCATGTATTGTAATATGTTACATGAGAACCTTCTTCCCTGCTGCCAGAACACTGAAGATGGGTCATGGATGGATCTTCCAGCTTTGCCAATGACCCAAATACATACCGTCAAGACAACAAAGGAGTGGCTCAAGAAGAAGCACATTTAAGGTAATGGAGTGGCCTATCCTGTTCTCCAACCTTCATCCTATTGAAAATGTATTGGATGGAGGATGAAAACTTCGAGTTGCCAGGCGACAGCCAAGAAACCTTTAAGTATTTGGAGAAAGATCTGTTAATAGATGAGAGGACCAAAAGTCTCCTCCTGAGATGTCTGCAAAACCCTGGGAACCAACTACAAGAAACGTCCATATAGTGCCATGAGTATCTGTGCTTGCCAACATGGGTTCCTCCAACCAAGTACTAAGTCATGTTTTTCTCGGGAGATCAAATACTTATTTATTTTACTTTATTTGAACTGCTACTCCATAGACTTAATAACATTTGGTTCACGTGTTGTTTTACTGGATTTTTTGGGTTCGGTGTGTTCTGTCTCTATCAATTTAACATACACCCATATTGATACAAATGATAGACCCGTACATCTACTTTATAATGGTTCCAAAACTTACAAAATCTGCAGGTTCGGGATCCAATCATTATTTTCACCAAGCGTATGCCTCCTATCTATCTATCTATCTATCTATCTATCTATATCTATCTATTATCTATCTATCAAGAATATCTATCTATCCAGTGTGATGTATTTAGGTTTTGTGCTGCCGCAACGGCAAAACAAAAAAATCAGATGAATTCCCTCACTCACTTGCGTAGAGAGCCTGAGACCGAGCCCAACACCAGACCCCCCCATGGAGGAAGCCTGACAGTGACCAAAGACACCCCTGCCATCATACATCCCCCCCACCCACCCAAGAGAGCCTTTCACTAACACCCTTCCCTCCCCAGGCAAACAGAGAGACACTCACCTTTTTACAGCTCTGGACATCCCAGGGGAATGACATTCGGGCTGTTCTGAATACCACCATTCAAGCTGCCGCTGCCTTTCTCTGATCCCACCTGGTCCCCATGCCCCTTCTTCCATGGGCAATGCTTTTCCCCTTTAAAAAGTGCTTCACCTAGGCATATGCCATTTGTTTGCCTCGTGGTTGTAAAATTTTTAGCTTCGTACACAGAAGTTTAACATTTGTATCATATTCAAGAACATTGCATGGATATGTACTGTTATGGACCAGTAAATAACAATTTGTAAAAAACAGGAAATGAAAAGGACAAAACAGAGAAATTGTTGGATATTACCGAGTGAGAATAAAAACTGAAGAAGCACAGAAATTCATTTGACTGGGCAGTATTGATTTATACAGTTTCGAGGGAACACACCGGATTGACCCAAAGTGTTTGCTATTTTGCTTTACTATTTCGGGAATGATAGTTTTATTTCTACGACTACCTTTTATTTTTACGTACATTTATTTCTAAGTACCGGTGAAATAAATAAAATAAATTTAGTAATTTAAAGAGAGGTAACAAATGAAGTTTACAAAAATTGATTGCCAAAGTTTTGTGGGCCGAGCAACCAATATATCTGACAAAACCATAACAAAAAATGGTAACAAACTGCAAGGTCGCATTAGTCAATGATTTGATCAATATAGCAAAACAGTGGTGAAGTGAGATGGCGGCCAAAAAGCTGATATTATGATATTGATCTCTGAATGGCTGACATGGGCACCCCTTCCTGGGAACAGAGGATTTAGTTTCCATTAAGAAGAGGCTATTTTGCTTTTTAATTATCTGATCTTTGATTTTTGTTATGATTGACTTTTAATTATTACTACAATCTGACCTTTTGGCTATTCTTACAATTGACCTTTTATTATTATTACAACCTACTTTGAATATTATTATAATCTGATCTTTGATTAATATTACAATTGACCTATGATTATTGTTGCAATTGACCATGGATAATTGTTAACACTCTGACCTTTGATTATTGAAATAATCTGACTTTATTATTATTATTATTATTATTATTATTATTATTACAATTGACCTTTGATTGTTATTATAATCTGACCTTTGATTATTCTTATTACATTTGACCTTTGAATATTATGATAATATGAATTTTGATAATTATTACACTTGCCCCTTGATTATTATAATTTGTCCTTTGATTATTATTACTCTTGGCCTGTGATTATTACTATAGTATTACCTTTGATTATTATTACAATTGACCTTTGATTACTGTTA